AAAATTTTATTTAAATATTTTAAAATTTAAAAAATATAGATTATAAATATATTTTTAATAATTTTCTAAACAAATTTGTCTAGAAAAGCTTACAGATTAAGAAATAAGAAAAATATTATTTTTAAGTTAGAGTATTTAAATTTATACAATTTTAGGAATTTTTCATTGTTTAAACAATAAATAATTTTTAAAATTATATACAAATATTATTAATTTATTATTTATATAATTGAATTATTAGCTAAATAATTTTATAGTATAGTATGTATTATTATTTATATGAATATTAGTATCCCTTATCTTAACACTAAAAAAAAAAAAATAAATATTGGTATTTATTATTTTATATATAAAAGTTAAAAGAATGAAAAAAATAAAATATATATATAATAAATTTTTATATAAATTTTTTTTTAAAATTAGAAATTACTAGTCTAGTCTTATTTTTTTTGAAATTTTTTAAATTTTTATAATTTCTAATTATAATTCTTTTTAAAACTATGCTTTCTAGCTAAAATTATATATATATATATCTAATTTATTTTTACTAATAAAAAGAGAGATCAAAAAAAAAGTAATATAAAATTACTAAATTAAATTAAACTAGTCTTATTTATTAGATATTAATTTATAAGTTAATATATAATAAATAAATAATCAAATCTCTAGTATTTAAAATATAACTTTTTTTTTTTTAAATATTAAGATAAGTACTTACAAGCCAAAATTTTATTAATAGTATATTTAGCTAATAGTTGCATTACAATTACAGAGAACAACTATAAAAAGAGTATACAACTAGTCACTTATACAACTTTAGTTATTATCTAATTTAAGTAGTCCACCCAAAGATTCTATACTAGCTGTTATACCTAGAACCTGCTTGTAGGTTTTTTAGTTAACTACTCTAGTTTTTGTATTCATTTATCTACCTTTGCCTAGCAACAAACCTAACTGATACTAGTGAAAATATATTATGATCACTAAGTCTTTAAAGCAGTTCTTTAGAACCTTTAACCTTGTACTAAACCTTTTAGAATCTTCTGTATCCCATTCTTACAGCTGAGCCAATATTGCTATAACTGAGACTAACATTGGCAGTCAGAACATATCATTAAACCACATGTCTTTATAGAGTTTATCTCAACTCTAAATACTTACTTCATAACATATCCTTACTATTTTGGTATTCAATTTAAGTTTCACTAAGCTGCCATTCCAGATAGTTTGAAAAAGTAGATCAAAACCATATACCTCTGGTTTACATGTTTGCTAACATGTATTCTTTTTCTCCAAAATCTGAAAATTCCAATAATTTGGTTAATTTATCTGGTTTCTTCTCAAAAACCAGCATATTTGTTCAGTTTTATAAGTTCTAACTTCATTTTATAAGTCTAATCTTTACAGTAATACCATTGAAAGCTCAGGTTCCTCTCTACTTAGATCTTTTAAGTGGGTTTCTATCTTTTTTCTTTTGGTTCCTATAATTTATATGACCATGATGACTTATTGTAGATTTGTACTTACTGGTACTGGTTTGTATTTTTTCATATAACTACAGATCTTGTCTCAAAGGAAAATGTCATATGATTATTACATAAATGCCATGTAACCTGCTAGTCATACTAGTGCAATACAGATAACATGTGTCTTATTACAACCAATTGTGAGAAACAGTTAACTATAATACAGATAAGATTTTCAAATTTTCTGTCAACACTAGGATTTGAACTCTGAACCTGCTACTTGGGAGTTGACAACTTGACCACTTCACTAGGTCACCACACCTCTTTAAGATATAACTTATTATTTACTAAATTTAAATTTATTAATAAAATTCTGTAAATATTTCAGTAAATCATTAAAATTATTACATATTATAAATATGTACAAGGTTGGCAGCAAAGACTAAATTTTTAAAATTCAGTAAGGATAAATTAAAGGATTTAGAAAAAAATAATATATATAGTAAATTGTTAAATGAAAGCTTTTTGTTAAAGCACAAAAGGTGGTTTTTTATGCTGATTTTTGAGCTATAGAAATTTTTGGCAAAATGACTGTTTATTTTAAATCTTCCTAATCATAATCTGATTCATAGTTTAGGATTACCACCAAATTTACACAAAAGTTTACTAATGGAACTGCAGCTGCTCATTAAGTAAAAATGGTTCAAGCCAATTTTACTATGGAGCAGGCCCATTTTTTAAAAAAATTCTCTTTTATGTAGCTAAAAATAAAAAATTTAATTTTCGGCCAAAATTAAGAACTTGGAAAATAATCGGCCTAAATTACTTAATGCAGGCCAAATTGCCACGCATTTTTTGTGAGGCAGCTAGTTCAGGATATCTGCGCCACCAACCTTGTATACGCAAAATTAACATCCTGTGATGTAGATTAGATGACTTGTCAGTGAAATGACTGTCGTGAAGTTACGACAACCCATGTAATAAAATCGTTATTGTAGCGCAAAAGTGTCACATTTAACTCCTCAAACTTATATTAAAGTTTTAACATAACATCATTTTGTTATGAGCGTGATTCATACCTTTTGCATTTTTTTCCCATAAATATATAAGGTCCGGAGCAATCTTAATTTTTTGCTTTTTTCGAATAAATTCTATCTTGTTTCAAGCAGAGGTATAAAGTTTGCTAGCGATTATTTGGTAATGTGAAATGAACAAACGATGATAGCAAATTAGCCAATCGGAAATGAATCATGGGCATATGATGAGGTATATAAATAGCCAATCAAAATGAACTTCCGCTATGCTCCCGTGTACAATTATAAATTTTTTTTAAAAAAAAAGTAATCACTAATTTCCGATTATTAATTTCCGATTACTAATTTCCGATTAATTACCTTTTTTTTTGACTTTTAGATTAGCCAAAATTTGTGCATTTATCATTTGTAAAAAATCTAATTGAATATTTTAATACGCAACTCCTATTTCTGCAAATATATTACACAAAATGAATATGTAACTTTTATTTCTATAAAATATAATAAAATTTTTACAAAATAATAAATGCGCAAATTTTGTCTAATCTAAAAGTGATTACTTTTTTTTTAAAATGATTTTCAAAGTTCACATAAATTAAAAATTTAACACTCCTCACGTAAAATTGCGCGATGTAACCTTGTGTGAGGTGTGTGTAAATGCTAAGATTACCTCGAGCAAGGTACATCTCTACTTATAGCTTTTAGGATTAAGGTTATTGCAGTTTGTGAAATTTTTAGATTACCGAATAAAAGCTCAAATGTTAGGTGATTTCTGATTTTTCAAAATTACTTCGATATGCTAATTTCAAATTCAGATATCGAAGTACTTATAAGAAATCAGAAACCACCTAATAATCGAGTGATTTCTTTACAAATTTATAAAATTCGCGGATCATAATGAAATTGAATTAAAATTGTTTATTATGAATTCTGCTCTAAAGTTAACCACAAACAAAAAAAGTCAAAAAAATGTATCCCAAAATTTGTATAGGAATCATAAAATCATTTGGTTCTTGTGTCGACTTTACTCAAATACTTTGAGACCGACTCCAAGCCTGTTTCGAATAAAGTCCAAATGTAAGAAGTGCCGTTCCTGCATGTTGTTTGTTCCAATTGTGATTAATAAGTTGGGAAAACATTCATACTACATCTAATATTGTGGATAAATTACGTTAATGAGCTTAATTTAAAAACCAAACCCAGATCGAAGTCTTATCTATGGAGTCTGAATGAAAATGTAACAGGCTTAATGATACTAAAATTTTGTAAGAAATTTTTTCGTTGGAACATAAAGGTTGATTTTAAATAAGCAAATTTCTAGTTACCTTTACAGGTTTTTTTTTTTGAAAAAGAAATTTCCGTGTTATACCAGACTTTTTAAAGTTTGCTGCAAATTATGCGAATTATGTGAAAATTTCGACCACTTATCAAAAACAGCAACTCTTTAATATGCTCGTGAGGATCGAATATTATATAGGAGATCTCATTAATAAAATTGATTATTGTTATTATAATATTAATCATTTCTATATTATATTTGACCCTGCTCACAATTTGTCTACATTTCCGGATTCTCCTGATACCAACATGACTTTCATTCTCATTAACCGTCTTCCAATATAAATTATAAATTATGCTTATTTCTGTTTTAATTTCTGCATATTCTGCTTCAAATTACGCTAATTTTATAAAATATGATGCGAATTATACTATCGTGTATGCTACGACAAATACAAGATTTATGAACAGATTACTATCGTATATTTACGCTAGCCCTAGAGCTTACGGATTTCTTATTCGAGTAATATTCGAATTATTTGGATCGGCAAATATTTATTCAAATATTCGTCAAATGACTAATATTGTTTGAATAAGTACTACGTATTTATTCGAATAATATATAGTTATTAGATATGAAGTAGCTAATAATATGTAGTTACTGTGTAAAGCAGCCAATGACTGAAGTTTCATGTGAATAATAATTTGCTTATTTTTGTTATTCGAATTATTTGTCTGATAATTGTTTATTCGAATATTCGCCGAATACGAAGCTCTAAACCGGAACATCAGAAATATGTGATTGACATTACATTGATGACAATTTAACGTATACGAATAAATGCATATAAAAATTTATTGTTATTCGTTTTTTACTTTCTGAATCGCAATGGGGCACCTATTCTATTGGATAATTATACAAGACATGGTAAAAGATAACTAATATAACTAATACTATATTTATAATAGAAATGTAGAAATAATAAAGATAATATATTGATACGTATATAATATAGATTTTATAGGAATATATGTGGGAAAATGATCGTGATACAACACTCATTATCGATCGCTGCTATGTTATAAACATTTGGGCTAACAATTTCTAATAAGACTAATTTAACGTTTTATGTAAAAATTTCAAATGCCTTCAATTAATGAAAGAAAAGGAATAATAAGAAGATAGAAAAATAATAAATAATAAATAAATAAAAAGTATAAATTAAGTGTAACCTTCTATTATAAAGCGTTCAACTTTAAAAAACTTCATTTCGAGCAATAAATATATTGCAAAATTGAATATGTCAAGCTCCTCTTCGAAAGGATCGACAGATTTTGAATCATTTTCTGGTTTGAAATGCTTATTATAATAAGAACCGAGTCGACTCAACCAATTGACATCCTTGGGATTGGCTGGGTTAGGCTCCGCTGTCGAGTCTGATTTATGTATTTTCACACATATATCCTGACTGACTGAATGCACTGTTTCAATAGTATCTAGTTCTATGTCATCCATATCCTGACCTTCAGAATATTTGTTCGAAGTAGATCCGTGTCTTGGTTCATTTTTTTGGATTATTTCGACTTTATTCTTTGTAGGAGTTTTGCGCCAGATGGACACTTTTACACGGATAGAATGATTATTATACCATTCGTCGATAATTTCAGATTCAGCATTTGAGGTACTTCTCAATAATGCTAATGAAATAAATACTTTGAATACTGAGGAAACGAGAGAAGGATAAATAATTTGTTTGCCAGTTAAAAGAATAAGAACAAACAGAAATATACGGAATACTATGCTAATTATTGTAATACAATAAAAAGTTGGTAAAATATAATAGAATTTATATGTTATTTTATCAATGGGTAACATATTAATTAAATAAAAGAAGCTAACGCAAGTATAAACAAAGAGATAAAAGTGTTTTGCGGATGAAAAAATAGTTACTAACTGAAAAACTAGAGCGAGCATAAGAAATACAGAAAATTTATCCTTTGTTGCATCATTGGTAAAAACTAACATGATATAAATCAAGAAGGAGGCGATTGAACAAAAAATAGTCCAAACGCATAGTCTTAATATAATATAAAGAATTTGCCTAAAACATCTATCAAGACGAAACAGAGGGAATTTGTGATCAGAAAATTTAAAAGTTTCTGAGGGTTTTTTACCAGGCAACAACATAAAACCTTCGAACAATAAATAATGAAAATCCGGAGCTTGTATTTCTTTACCCTTTGCTTTATCATCGCTTATATTTAAGAAACCATTATCACTAACGTCAACTACAATTTTTTCAGTTCTGGAAGTATTAAGTATTACGAGGTTTTTAAATTCAAAATCTCCAATAACACGAAAAAGGGCATTTGAATAAAGAGCAAGAAAAACTTCAGGATAATATAAGAAAATTTGGCCGAAGGATGGGAATTTAAGGCAAATTTTCATATGAATAAATAAAAAGCCTTTTAAAATTAATTGAATTACAATCATGATAAGAAAAGTTGAAGCAAATTGTAAGTCCAAAACAATAAAAGGAAATTTACACCAAAATGCACGATATATAAATAATGTACTAAATGGTACGATAAAATTGTAAAATTTTAAGTCAGAAAATAAAAGTTTGAAAATTGTAAAAAAGGTTATAGTTAATGTCAATGGGATGGCTTCAGGATGACTTAAGGCAGTAAAAATAGAAAATATGAGGGGAACAGAAAAAGACGTGAAATAGCTATAGATCCAGTATATCACTAGCTTTAATAGCCAGGATAATAAAAAACAAATTATATAAGGTTTCATTCTGTTCAAAGTCAAATGAATTAAAAGATGCAATAATAGTGAAAATTAAAAATAGTAAGGAAAGGCCGTAAAGGTTGCCATTATATATGTATCTTGACGCGATTTGTCACGCAGTAATTGCCAGCATTTAAATAGAGTAATTAATATAAAAATTCCTTTGATATATGTTGATACAAAGGGAATATATTTGTTTAAATTAGCTACCCGCGAATTTTCTTATAAACAAGAATACCTGATACGTGTATGATCACGTGGATAACTCAATTTAATTGGGATAACCATATTTCACACATTGATTTTCACTAGCATATATCGATAGAATACGGAGTAAATAATTTGTAACTCGAAAACCATTACATGAAAGGATACTATCAAATGCAATTGTCAAGGTCAGTTATGTACGCAAATACATATGTACGGAACATAAAGCATTTACTGATACCGATACATTTACCATATTTATCTTTCGTTCATTCTCTAAAGCAATTGCGTAATTACACATCGATTTCATTGGCGCGTTTCCAGAAATCATTCTTTTAAAGTAATGTCATCAATCAATAACTATCAAGGTCAGTTACATACGGAATATAATATTAATCTCCAAGACCGATGATTTTCTTCGTTTGCGGAATGTCGTATATGTTACGGAATTGAGGAACACAAAGTTTTGAAGATGACGTGGAATTACCACAGAAATATCGTAAGCAAAGCGGAAAAGAAGAAAGGTTTGATTTTCCGATTTCTTTTCCTTTTTAATGCTTTTCTCTGAAAAAAAAACTTTTATAATAAATGTAATAATTCACGAACTTAAATTATTGGAAAAAGAGAATGGCGTCCGCAGGATTCTTGCATAATTCGTACTTTGTATTGTCGGAATTTCACTACAGAAAAACATGGGTCTCGTCCCACCTTTTAAAAAATTACACTGTTAGAACCTTAAATGATATAGTCATTATACAAAATCCTTTATATATTTTTAATACAAAGGTCTTTTTTTATCTATTTATTTTATCTATTTATTTGTTCAAATTAGTAGTCCATTGTAAATAGAGTGTAACAGTATATCAGGAAAATCGGAGCATGACTAAAATGACACCGATTTCATTGGCCTATGATATCTTGAACAAATACGTCACAACATTGGAGTATTTTCATTTTTAAGGTCATTTGTTAGACTTTTTAATCATTTTATTATTTTATATTAATTTGGTACGTTGTGCCATAGGTTCATTCAAGACTTAAAAAACTTAATATTCGAGTTACTTGATCGAGTTAATTTAGTCTAGTTTTAATCGAGTTATTTGAACCACAAAAAATTTTAATTTTATAAAGGCAAATACATATATGCAATAATTGTGTAATATATTATGACTTGGATAACGACAAATTCCAGTTATGAAATAAACGCTTTCTTTAGCATAATACCCGGATATATTATACAATATATAGTGTAACAGAGTTGTAAATACCCGGTTATTTTGATCCGAGAAAAGCCGCTTGATTAATATAAGTCGGCATCTTTTTTAAATACTAGTAATAGTATTCAATTTCAGTACCATTAAGAATAGTACCCTTCTAGTATAGTAACCGGCATAATATTCACGGATTTATTATTCCGTATTCGAGTCACGAATTGATGAGTCTAATCATTAACTATAATACGTATCACATTAGAGTTGCTTCGCATAAATTCTAAATGCATGATTTTCTAAATGCAGGAAGATCAGTTTTATCGTTATATAGAATAAATCCACATTCTGCATGCTGAATTACATATTATATGCACTAATGCTATGTAAATGCTTCCATCTTAATTTAGTCTCCAGATATATATATATATGTATATATATAAATTGTTATGTATCAACTCAGTATACGTAGATATATATATCATTAGATAAATACTATGTAAAAAGAAATTTTATATTTCATGCGTATGCACTATAATGTATTCACCTAATTAGCAATGTATGAAATTTGATAAGTCAACCTGAAGATATTTAGAAATTAGAATGAAGGCTTGATGTGACGATTTTCCTTTAAAAATCGGAAAATAGCCATAACATAAATTAAACATTATAATGTTAATAAAGCAGAATTTACTTAGAGTAAATTATCTTGAATCTATTGCTTTAGAATATATATATGTCTAATGGAAATCATTTAAAAAATCCTTTATCATTATTTATTACCATTGTCCATTGTTTACAGCACCTGGAGTTTTTATTGGTTGCAACGGTTAAACTTCTCCCATACACATCTCCTTATTTATATTCTTATTGTTTTATCCCAATTATCATTTTTTTGAACTTTGGCAATCGTGCCGCGATGACTTTATTAGTTAAACATTCTCTGTTTATAGGATCTTAATTGATTCATAGTTGTTAAAGTTGAGTAAAGTTTGTCTCTTTATTAAAGGATTAATTATTAAATTGAATAAATTGAAAAATTGTTATTGTTACATTATTATAAGTTAGTTAATATGTTTTAACAAAAAATTAACTAGAGATTATTATGTTAGTTCAAAAAAAAAGTGTACAAAAGTTACTATTATTTACAGTAAAATAAAAATTTTCAAATATGATGCTGTAAGTCTATACTTAATAGTTACACAAGTATTTTAATTTTTTAAATATCTATAACTTTACCAGGAACGGAGTGATGAAATCACGAAGTATATGGTTTATATGGTGGTCCTGTCGCATCTGAAGTAGCGATTTATCTAAAGTAGCGCCTGGCTAAAATTAAGCCCCTGAAATTAGATCTTCATACATACATTAGATTTTAATTTTAGTCAGGGCGCTACTTAAGATATATATTAAATGGCTACTTTAGATATATAAAGTGGCCACTTTAGATAAATCACTTATGATTTATTACATGATGCCTTGCAAAACTTTTGTGTATATCAAATGTTTCACACAATATATTAACGAGATGCTAGATCAGTTCTCATTTGTACATTACTTGGACTATTTGTTAATTACTATATTTGCTTTTGTTCCTAGTTTCTAGTGCAACTACTTATATAGTTATATTATTAGAATTATACATTCTGTAAGCATAAGGCAGGCATCAAGCTCATTATTATTTTCTTCATTCATAATTTTATTTATTGTTTAAGGTTTTTTTTTAATAAAAAATCTTTGAAACTTTATTTGAAAAGATTTTGGATTATTAATATAACCAGGAAATAAGAAAAATAAACATAAAATCTGAAGAAAATTCAAATCATAATAAGTGAAAATAAATATTTTAAAGAAAAAAATTTTTATATAAACATATTCTGTTTTATATATATTTGTTAAAATTTTAGAAATATTAACAAGTTAATTTAATTTACTTTTTTAATTAAGTTCTCTAAAATTTGATAAATTTTTTTTTCCCTTAAGCAGTCATAATAGTACTTTATTAAACCATTTGTAGCTATATATGTAAATACAGAATATCATTTAATTTATAAGTCTACCATCATCTGGCCACCCAAACGGTACCTAAATATGACCTGCTGCACTAATCTAGTTAGGACTAGAAATTACGACTCGTCTGACACCTGCCCTACAATAGGATACTGCCAATCTGGAGACATCTTCTCGTAGGAAAGAGAAAAAAAAAAAAAAATGATTTTAAAGTTAGGAAAGAGAGAAACGAAAATGGAAAGTAAAATAAAACTAAACAAAAAAAAAACAAAACTAATCTATAAGGAGAATAAAGAAGAAAACCTGCTAATAAGATAAAACTCTATTTTATAATTGCTGCCTACTACAATGTTTTTATATTTTTATAAATGATGGTTATTCTCTAGAAACTAGGTACTCTTAACCAGAATAAAAACTAGATTTACTTGTAAAACAGAGTTCAAGCCGGGCACTTTCTATATAGGAGAAATCTTCAAGTAGATAGGGTACTGTACCAAAGTTTGAAGTGCACTTAAACAATCCAATTCTTCATAAACCCTATAACACTTTTTTTAAAAAATATTATATACATGGCCTCAGAATATATGCATATCTCAATATATTTTTAGTCTTTCTAAATTAAATCCTTTTTCGATCTGCTCTACATGATTGGTTGACTCACATGTTTGTTATGTTCCTTATTTGCCATGTCCAAACAAGCATGTAACTGCAAAAGAAAGTGATGTGTAATGTCAATCTTTTAATAGAGGTGAGCCAAATCTCCACTTTTTGAAAAAAAGAACACAAAAAAAAAATGAAGAGAAGGTATATCATTGTTGCAAGGGTCCAAGTTAAGGAGAGTTTTTCTAGTTATTCTTCTTTTTCTTCTGCTTCTAATATTCTTAATCAGAAAACTGATTTTGTCTCTACTTGCTTCCAGAATATCCTTCCAGTTTGGATGCTGAATATGTAAGAGAGTCCACCAGACAAAAAGCTTGACCCAAGGCAAGAACCACTCAAGTTTCACCTGCTTCTCAGTGTATTATGTACTTGAGCTTTGTTGACAGCAAGTTTACTTAATATAAAACTAAGAATATTATTCACTTTGGAGTCAGAGTCTTCAATCTACTTTTGGTGCCAACTTGGTCCAGGTGATTGTCAGAAAGAGTTGTTGCTAAAATTTGATAATATGATATTATAAAGATTTTTTCAATTATATATTAAAATACTATCAAATATTTGTAATTAATT